CAAAACTTCCAATTTTTAGCCAATCGGGGCGGTAAATACGACATTTGTAATCCCTAGGTTGGTGTCTGCAAGTAGACTATGTAAGTACTACCAAATTGTCATTTTTACCGGTATTAACCGGAAGGCTCGACACCTATTTGCGTGGGTTTCTGGTCTTTCACCAAGGACACTCAGGCCAACTTATCAAGTTCAGCTACACCCTTATTCGGACTTACCAACGTATTTACCCCATACCACATTTCTATAATTCATATTACAGTACCACTTTCTTTCGTGAAGTAATAATCTTCAATCACACTCCCAATGCATAATAATAATAATAATATGAATGAGCATGTAATTGTTGTAAATCAAATCACAAAACTTGCAGCGGAATAAAATGTTTAGATCATACCTCTTTTGATCTAAAACCTCGTGGATAAATCACGTGCTTCCAGAATCTAATCAATCAATCCCAGCAGTGGGGTGATATTACAATGGTGAATATCACCCACACAAACCACAGTGCAAAATGACTTGATCGTTGTTTCTTGGGAGAGAGTAAGTTTATGGGTAGAAACAAAACATACGTTGTTTCTCTCTGGTTACCCATAACCATATATCAGATATATATTATATTATTATTATTTATCCATATCAGTTAAAACTGATAATATCTATATCCTGAGTGGTTATCCTAAATAGGTTTGAATTTAATTCAAAACCTATTTGGATAAGATCCAAATTATGTTCAAATGGTCATGCCACATAGGCGCCCATTACTAACATTATATATATAAAAAAATATTATGTAAAATTAAGTTTATGTTATATATATGAAAAATATTATGTATATTAGTGTTATATATTATGCAAATATTTAATAATTGTTTAAGAAATATTCTTTAATCAATTAGCAAATTAAAATCGCCCAAACCGCAGTTTAATTATTTGTCAATCCGTCATTCACAATTTAATTTATAATTTTACTCTCAAACTACTTAAATCGTACTGCGTACATCTCTATGCTTGGTTTTCATGATATGGCAAAATAAAAATCATATATATCTGTGGAGGCAAAGAAAAAATCTGAGTGCATAGAAAAAACTAAACATAGAATACACCGATATGTGATAAATATTTGCATGCAAAGATATTCACAACTATAAATTCAAATATTTTTATCTCTCATCTATCTATTTATCTATCTATACTATATATATAATCAAATGTAGTGGTTTTGTCAAAAATCTGTAAATATTCATTCCTAAATTCTCATAATTTTAAAATTATCTCTTTCCTACGTGGCAATCCCTTTTGATTGTCTTTCGTGTTTTTTATTTTCCTCCATTTTCTATTTGTTTGATTAATTAAAATGAAAATTAATTTCATGGCTTATGGATAAAGATTTGAATTTCAAAATTCCTCCATATAGATAAACATATAAAAAGTGATAAATAATTTATGAAAATTAATTTCATGGTATACAGATAAAGATAAAAATTAAATACTTAATTTCATAACTTATAGATAATTTAAAATTTCTTCCCATAAATAAGCATATAAAAATTGATAAATAATTTATAAAAATTAATTTCATGGCCTACTGACAAAAATAAGGGTTAAAAAATTGATTTTAAAAAAAATCACTCGTGTTTTTTGCCCTTCATTTTGTACTTTAATTAATTTCATTATAAATAAACATATAAAAAATCATAAATAATTTATGAAAATTTATTTCATGACATTTAGATATAAAAATTTTAAAAATTATTTGAAAAATAATAATTTCATGACTTATAGATAAATAAACATATAAGAATTGATAAATAATTTATAAAAATTAATTCCATCGTCTATAGATAAAGACAAAGATTAACTAATTGATTTACAAAAAAAAAAATAAATTAAAATAATAAAATTTAGATAAATATATGATTTGTTAATCCATATCTATCAAAAACATATCTATCAAAAACATATCTATCTAAATCTTTATTTTGGTTTACTTATATTTTTTTTCTCCTTTTATCACATATTATCTTTTTTTATTTTGAATTTTTTATCTTGTGAAATACTTTTATCTATAACTTCTTATCTCCTCTTAACCTACTCCTCATAATTTTTATTATTTGTTATTATCTACCAAGTGATAAAGATATATATAAAAAAAGAATTGTTGGCTATGAATAAGAAGAGTATTAATAATTAAATAGTGAAAGCTATATGGGAGAAGGCAATACAAAAATCTCACAAAATTATTTTCTGTCCCTATATTTATCCAAGGTAATAATTTGATATTCTTTCTTTTAATTTTTAAAAATAATTTACATTAGATCATTGCTATGTGTTTTTTCTTTTTCTTTCTTTTTATTTTTTTTATAAGATTGTCATTTGTTATAGTATTTTTTCAATCCCATCTCTAAATTTTCTCTTTGAAATTTCTATTTTTTTAATAATAAAGTTTAGAACTAATTTCTTATCAAATTTGTTTTCTTGGTGCTTATTTTATTGAAAGATTGAGTCAGGTAAAACTTTCATATGATATATGAAATTAATGAATATAATACAAAGATGGTAGAGAAATACTACATATTTGTTGATACCTCTCTTTTATTTTTAGTTGACTTATTAGATTATATTATCAATTTAGAGCCCATATCATTTAATTTAATGTCCATGACTTTAGTTATATTCGACCATTTTGTTGTTGAGTAACCTATATAATTTTTTTTTTGGGGTATATAATGATTACAGCTATTATATGTTATATTTCTTCAAATACAATTCAAATAATTTGTCATCATTTTTTTTTATAAATAAAATGGATTAAACTATTTTCTTATATAATTTTTATAATCCTACGAAATTCTTATGTTGATTTTTTTTTTTAAATGTTGTAGAAACTATGCAAGTATTATTCAAGTTATGGAGAATGATTACTTACAAATTATAATTAAAAGTTGAGATTTATTCATAATTTGGTCCCACAATAATAATATAAATCATTGATTTAAAATATGTAAATTTATGATAACTTATACAATTCATTTCTTTTAATGCTTTGTTTTTGTTTTTGTTTTTGTTTTTGTTTTTTTTTTTTGCATAACACTATAGTCTGATACAAATTATTTATGTTAGCAAGTGATTGTAATACTATTATCCTAACAATCTTTATAATTAACAATTTTTTATGTATATCAAATTTTTATTGTCAAATTTTGTAGATTAATTATTGTTAACATCAACCAAGATGGCCTAACATCATGGCTTGCTGCTATTAAAATATAATTCAAGATTAGAATAATTTATATATCACACAAAATGTATATAGTTTATTTTTTCGTGCATCGCACGGGTTACCGCTAGTTTAATACCAAAGGAATGTATGTATTAACAATCCGCATATAATTATCCTATAAAATTATTAATCCCATGAGATTGTTAATTGGAAAAATTAGTTTAAGGTCCTTCTCTCATTTTTAATAATGGAAGAGATCCACAGTATTATGTGTAAGGTCCCTTAACCCCCCACACCCATATATCATAGAGAAATTTGACCCCCTCAAATCAAACTACTTCTCCCTCTCTCTGCTCCTATCTCCGACGAATTCCACCTCTATCACCGGAGTTCATTGTCGTCGTCATCGTCTTCTCCAATTTTCTTTCCTTCGTCAAGCAAAGCTCAAATCATCCTTATCCATAGATGATTTCACCGATATCGGAATCGAAGCATACCGCGATGATGGGAGTGGACAATGATATCATCACCATCAAGGCCGATGATGGAAGTGATACTATAACTTTCATGTTTTAAAGCCCTAGTAAGCTGCTTTTAGTTCTTCTTTCTCTGACTTCGTCCTCTACTGGTCCTGGAACAAGGTCTCTCTATCTCTCTCTCTCTCTCACACACACACACACACACACACAACTCATACACATACAGACATCTATATATACATAATATGGAGATGAACTGTTTGACAAAATGCTTATTTGAACTCCAAAACACATAACTATGAGATTTGATTTGACAGAACACTTCTTAGAATTGTAAAACATATAGCTATGAGCTTTGAAGTTAACCTGTTTGATAAAATGCTTCTTAGAAAAACAATCACAGAGAAAAATAATCACAATTTTCTCTGATTTGTTCAAAACACAGAGAAAATTGTAATTGCTTTTGGTTTCTAAATAGCTCAATTTTCTTTGATTTGTTCAAAACACAGAAAAAAATGTGATAAATAGTTTGGGTGATGAATTGATTTAGAAAATTAATGTGTGGTTGAGATTATGTGTAAATTTTACTATAATAAAATTGAATATGGATCATATATATATTTTATATATCATTTTGGGTACTTTTGTGTAACTATAAAAAAAGTATTGTGATCACATGTATTTATCATCTGATATATTATTATTGTATTATTGTAATGAGTTTTATTATTAATGTCTATTATCAATGTAGTGGTGAGATGTCACATGAAAAATAAAAATATGTTTTGTTATTATTATTATTATTGATAATATATTTATTTTTTTTTATTTTTTTACAATGTTCAAAAAAACAATTTATGTTTATTGTTAGTTTTTGTAGATGAGAACTCAAAAATAAATTATATATAATTCAAGTAATTCAAGTTACAAACTAATTTGAGATTGAAAAGGAAAGTTCCAAAAGAAATGATAATTATATATAATTTAAAAATATTTTTGAAAAAATACAAAGAAAAATTGGAACTATAAATTATAATTATCAAACAACCTAATTTTATTATGAAAAAAAATTAAATGAAAAATTAATCAAATTTAAGCCTAGAGTGCTTATGAACCGTAGGAGTCGCTAAAGTGGCCTCCTCTCTGACCTGACCAACACTCATAACCACGGCCCCCACATGGGCTGCCTCCTCAACTAGAGCACAATAATTCTTCCATCTAGATCCAGCTACCTTCTCTCGGATATCATCATGCAACCGCCTTTCAAACTCATAACAACGACACTTCTTTGTTGCCACCAACTATGGAGCAAACCTTGACAAACTAATGAACCACATCACAAACTGTGCCAAAGGAGTAGCCTCCTGGCACAACTCAACAAATTGTTCCCTCAATCTCTCCCGAGTGGAAGGACGGAAGTACTTGGCCCAAAAGGCCTCCGTGAAAGCAATCCATGTGTTACCTCCTATGTTCTTAGTATATTTCCACCAATAACTCGCATCTCCTCTTAACTGAAATGTCGCCAAAGAAACCCTCAATCCTTCATGTTTGACTCTGAGCATATCAAGAGTCTTGGTAATCTGTTCCAACCAATCCTCCACCTCTAACGGTGTAGCCTTCCCCAAAAACTCCAGCAGATTAGAGCGAAGAAACTCCTTAGTAAGTTTGAGGGTATGCCTGTTGTCACCCTCATTGCGACCTAGAGCCTCTTGCACTGCTCTTACAATCTCACGTGCAACTTCCTCACCGACAGCCGATGTTACAACGGTAGGTTCTAAAGGAACCATTGTGCCCCTACCGGCACTCCTATTCCCAACTTGACCTCTATTCCCTCGTGTAAACATCCTATAAAACCCAAAAACAAATCCAAGCTTAGTACTCAACACAATGACCTTTCATAAGGCACGCACTCGCCACCTCTGGGCTACAAGACACACTTACTTCCCAAAACATACAATTTCTATTGCGTATAAACAATTAAACACCTAAAAACATTATTGAATCAAGTCCTCAAAGATAGACACTCATCCCGGCACTCTCAAGGAATTCCTATCAGAAACCACGTTGATCAGGCGTGTTTCCGATAAGATCTCAAAGGAAGTTCACCGGTTATAAGTACTATCCAAGAAACTTAATCCCATGCTCACATAAATGCAACATATAAATCCTAACACTTATCCTAACTATATGCAACGCCCTCACCAAGCATAGTAAACTCGATGTGATAAAACCACTCCCTACGAGCCCAAAGTATTCAAACTCGGCTCGCTCTGATACCAAGTTTTCACGCCCCACTTTTTATGCCAACGGATACCATTACCAAATCCTTTATTATAATACAATTTCAGAGATTATGCGTGGAAATTCAATACAATAATGAGTACTATTATTAAAGTTTCTCTCATTTGAATAAGAAGTGAATGCAAGATGAGTTAAAAATAAATAAATAAATTTCCCATAGGCTTACATCTTTTAAATTAAAAGAAAGGGTTTAATCTTTTTACATCAATGGCATTCCACCTACAAGTAAAAGGTCCCGTGGCCAACATATAAAGAAGATTCTCGATCTTGAAACCCTTTTCAATATTCACCTAAAAAAGGATTAGCAACGTGGGGTGAACATAAAGTCCAGTAGGGGTCCCATTATGATCCTAAACAATAACAACATACATATAGCCATGATCATGAATACTTTAAATCATTTCATATACATAATGTGACGGTTTATACTGAAATATACTTATATAGGAACTTTTCTCAAAATCATTCATTTCGTTCAACAACATAAGCAATACTTTTCGTTTTTCTTGTTACCTTCTTCCCAAAATTCATATAACAATAACAAGTTCTTGAAAACAATTTCGTAAAGCCCATTACGTTTCCTCTCACTTTCCAAACATACACCCGATTTACCTTCTTGAAACATGTTCACAAGTATTCGATATTCTTCACATTATTCACAATCTCAACACAGTACTTACGTCCGTTTCCCAACACATTCATATCTATACATATATACATTCAATACAAAGGGGAAAACAACAAGTAACCAACGACTATTTACTCAACGAATAAGGCAACTCGGCCTTTCAGAACCATAACCATCATAACCCATAATATACATAGATACACTGAGACAATAATGATAAATAAGTCCTGCTCTACCTGCCTTAAGCATGGTAAGCCAATGATACACCTTTCCGTAACGAAATGCTAGGCCAAAGATATACCTTAAGCCATTTTAGTCTTATTCCAATTCGTGACAACTTATTTTAAGTTAATTCATTTCATCTTAATTCATGAGCCAATTCATCACATTTTAGACATCCAACTGAGGCTACAACTCAATAGTTTTCAAATCATACAACACATACACATAAACACTTCAAACTTTTCTTTCACGAATATTTCGTCTGTGGGTAGCCATCAAACGGGACCCATGTATTCTTTCACAGATATTTCATTCGCGGGCAACCATCAAATGAGACCCATGTAAACGTAGGCCATACAAACGCTACAATTGCCATTTTACGGATATTTCATCTGCGGGCTAGGCACCCAGATATAATTTCGGGATTTTCACCCAGGACACTCCGGCCAACTTAATTATGATGGTGTCCATCCTCTTTCTCCTCCCAAACAATCATTCATACATATATAATGCATTTAATCGCAAACTCAAATAATGGAGTACATCCTCTTTCCACTCCCAAATAACCATACATATACAATGTATATAAATATAGTCATATTCAATGACAAGCACAAGCGATTAGTTTCAATTTACCTAATTCGTATATAATTTTTACAACAATCATAGCTATCCTCCGCTGATAGCCCAAGACAGTTATTTCTAAACAACTATACAATTTCCAAAATAGATAAACTATCCATATTTTCATAGGTGAGAGATTACAAATATCCAACTCCACCATTTACATTCATATCTATCCATTTCTACATCCAATACGAAAGGAAAACAAAAATCCATTTCTCACAAGACTTTCAGTCCAATAACAATGATATTATGTAAAAGTCCCAAAATCCGACCTCAAGTTCATTATCAATTTGCGAAAGTTGATGATTTCATTTTCTTTCAAAAATATCACTTTTCTTTATTTTACAATCACACGTCTCCAACCATTTTTCTAAAAATTCATTATCGTTATTTTATAAAACCAAAACCAAATCCACCCTCTTTATTTTACAAAACCAATCCCATTGGTATCAAAACCATAACTCAACTCCACTTCACGTGATTAGTTTAAAACAATACCAACACCGTGGTTACTTCTCCCTTTATTTTCTTTTGATATGAACACAATTACACAACACATATTAGTAAAATATAAAAATTATTCAACTTCCTCCTTTTTAAATCCATTATCTCAATAGTATTAAATTAGGGCTTTTCTCCCTCTCTTCACAAACATAATAAATCATTTCCCAAATAACCTAACAACAAACAACTTAACAACTCCAATCACAAATATTAAACTCTAGATCCCCTTTCATGGCTTTCAAAAAAATCCATAATGAATATGGTTTTTATGCAATAAAATCTATCACATGTTTATCTATAGACGAAGTATTGGAAAGGAACAAAAAAATCCTTACCTCTTGAAGCAAAGAGATAACGACTCAAAAATCATTGGTTACGAAACCCGACGAAATGACAAAACTCTTGGATCAAAAGGAAGCCCTTGACGAGATCTACACTCTTTCTCAAAGGACCAAGGTGAAAATATCACTCTAGGTGAGCAGATCTAGAGGTTTAAGTGAAAAAGTTTGAGTTTTAGAGAGAGAGAAGGGAACTCAAGCTTTGAGAGAGAGGAAAGAGGAGAAAAAGAGAAATGAAATATGTTTGGAGCCTATTTATAGTAGAAAGGTAATAGTAGAATAATAGCCCCAAAGTCAAATAAAAGGAACAAGTCAAAACTCCCAAAATATAGGCCCAAACTAGCCCAAAAATCTGAAAAAAACATGCAGAGGTCGACCCTTTATGTAGAAAAGGCAATCTGGCACAAGCAAGGGGGTCAACCCTTAGACAGGAGGGGGTCGACTCTATTTTCCAGCAAGTAACACATAGATTTTGCACTACAAGAGGGTCGACCCTTAGACAGGAGGGGGTTGACCCTATTTTCCAACAACACTTCCAGAAACTTCACTAATAAGTAAGGGTCGACCCTTAAGAAGGCCGGTGTCGACCCTAGAATAGAATTTCTAAGTCTTCAAGGAACTTTTGACAAGAACAAGTGCAACCAACCTAACCCAAGTTTAAATCGATTTTCACTCGTCCAAAACCAAGTTACAACAACATCAAAGATCTCCAAAAATAAAATAAAGGATTCAAATACACTTCCCAAAAGTTTTAAAAGGGTACAAGTGCTACATCTCCCCACTTTAAGAAATTTCGTCCCCGAAATTAAGGCCTCGTTTGGGAACAGGCTAATTTAGTAACTATTTGACTATTTGGCTAAAATATGAGCTAAAAAAAACTAGTATGTTTGGGATGACTTTTTAGCTTTTTACAAAAAGATGTGCAAAAAGTAGAGAGAAAAGAGAATCTTTGACTTTTTGGTATGTGTTGTTGGCTTTTTGGCTAATTTAGTAACTTTTTGGCTTTTTGGCTAAAAGAGAGGGTTCCCAAACGAGGCCTAAGAACACAATGCAACTCGAGGTGAATCATCCACAAAGAGGTGACATTATTTACAAAACCATGTAAAAAAAAATTTCTCAGATTTTCTCATTTTCTTTGAAGGTTTCCACAACCAAAATTTGTTCTCGATTTCCAAGTAAATTCTTAAAATTTTTGTAACCATCTTCCAACAATAAAATAAAGTGTTACTCCAAACACTAAATTGCTCGCATTATCATACTTTGTTAAATTCAGCGTCGATTAAATCAAATAAACTATGCATTGAAATCCTTTATTAACACTTAGATTAAATCCAAGACATTATAGTTCAACATTGCCATCCGAGGCTACAATACAAGGAAAAATTCATCTTCCGAGTTCGTTTTTCAACATAAGATAATTGGTGAACATCCACCGTCACCCAACAACTCTCATCACCCTTATAGTGATTCCACAACCAACATAAACATAATATTTCTATAATAACAATTAATAGAAATTACAACCGTGCTATCAACACAATAAGGCACAAACACAAAACAAAGGAATCCACGATCTTGCAATTTCATTCCGTCATATTATTATCATAAATTATCAGTAACATGAGGCATACAACCCATGCAAAATGAAGAGTTCACAATACGTTACCCCAACCAGGGGATTTTTCACAATTTCAAGACAATCTTTATACAAGCTTCAAAACCACTTACACGAGATATACTACTTGCCAAACCACTCCAATGCACCCACATCCTTACAACCTCGCACACCAGCCCAAGCTATTCCCAAGGTGACTATGTATTAACCAAACCCCGATGTCAACCAACTGACTAACTAGTTCGATTAAAACTTTGCACTCGGTACCAAACACTGACGTGGTACCTAACACCACTTGTTCCAAGATAGAGTTCTACACACAAGTTCTCATATTCCTTGAATCTCACCGGATTCCTCAAGATTTGGTCAAGCCACCATTGTGTCTAAGGAAAACACCACTCATATGCCTACATGGAAAATACTCCTTCACCTCTCAAATATAAGACTGATATGGCCAATGACAAACACCTAATTTTGGACACAGAAGAATTCTCACCAATGCCACACTCGTTACCAGAGCACACAACCTTACTTCCTTCCAAAGAATATTTCTAGCGTCTACCCACTAAATTCTTCTCACATTCATAACACCGCAAACCCATACCAACT